AAAAAAAAAAAAAAAAAAAAAAAAAAAAAAAAAGAGATTTCACGGCCATCTTTTCTGCTTCTTTTCAATTTTTCGGAGTAAATCAGCAACTTTCAGAACAGCTCCATGGTCTCAAACTATTAGAATTGTCAGTGTCAACAACAGCATTTGAAAGTGATTTGTAATATTCAAAAGCTTTACAACTTTACAAGATGTTAGAATTCCAAACTAAGCAGGGCACTAGGCATATACAAGTAAAGTATTCCAATCTGTCTCATAGACAGTTCTGCCTTATTATATACGCCATTGAGTAACTAGATAAAAAATGATTGTAAATTTCACTATTTCTTCATGCACGGTTAGTCCTGTAAAATAATTAGAAGCAGATGACGATAACTCTTGATTTCTGAAGAAATAGAAGTGAATTGATGGGTGATTATTCGAGCAACTGAAAGCTACTGTCCATTCGGCGATAAATTTGGCATTATATCGTAAACGACCTCACTCTTATTATACTTTAGCATATCCATACCGAATTTTTAACCCAGTTCTATTCTTATTTTGCATTACTTGGAATAACACCCGCTAAGTCCTCTCTTGCTCTTTTAAGATTTTAGTGATAGCGTACTTCGGTCCTACATCTACAGTTTCGTAAACAACTCGTTTTAACAGCAAAATGATGCTGATGTATGTGGTCCTGTTTTGCAACTAAAACTTCAAAAACCTGAACAGTTTGATTTAACAGCAAACAAGTTTCTGACTGACAACTTGTGTTATCTCACGTCTAATCAGCCTGAAAATGTCTGTATACCGTTATAATGCAAACACATAGAATTTGTTGATGCACGGTTATTAGGTGGCAAAAGGGATCAATTGAGAAGGCCTTTCAAAGGATATACTCCTAAAAATGCAGATTTTATAAAGATCTTTATTTGCTCCGTTAACGACTTCGACTAAAACTGAAAATTGAGAACATCGGCTACCGCATAAAAATGTGCACATTCATTACATCGCTTTGCAATCAAAAACGTGCTTTGTGCTTTCGTTTGGGTGTATTTGTTTGTGTGCATGTGGAACTGTGCAAGTAAGAAGGGGAAACTTAAACACTGGGAACTCCAGTGGTGGAAACGGAGCTTAATCGGATTTTTTGTTTTGGAACTACCACAAAGAAATGAAAACCAGGGCTGGGAATTTGGCAAAACGAAGGAGGAAAAAAAAGTATAAACACCAAAGATGCTTTATTTTTTGAGAGAAAGGGAGCGATTTGCCTGCTACTAAAAAAAGTACCAACATACCAGACGTTAGATACCACTGAACAAGAGGCGAAATTCGGGGTGATTAAGAAAATGAACAATGTAAATTTTGTTAATTCTACTTAGAAAAGCAAAAAAATTTCAAGAAATAAAAGAAAGGAAAAAATTCAAAAATATTTTCGATAATGGTTAACACTGAAAACAAAAACAAAGACAAAAAAAAAAAAAAAAAAAAAAAAAAAAAA